CAAGTTTATGTTTACCTCCACAAAAGCCTCGAGAACGCCTGGCCCCTGCCCTCTAGACTCGTGAAGCCAAAACACTGCTTCGTTGGACAGCCTTGACAATTGTGTCGCCTGGGTACAGAAATACAGTTGGACAGTTTTAGTACACATACTTAATACCAAATGGATAACAAATTGTACCATTCGAGTATCTTACCACGTATCTTTGAAGCGGGGCTCTCTGTAGTTGTGTGTCGTCCCTAGTGGCCACATCGTACACATCTTCGATCACATCTTCCTCGCCGTCCTCGTCAATCGCCTCCTCAGTGTACGGGGGCTTGATATGTGTCCTCATAGACCTGTGAAGCCACCTCAGGTACTCATCGAAGGTGTGCTGGTCGTGTGGGGGACCCACATCAACCGGCTGCTGGTCCCTGGTCTGCCACAACTGGATGTACGCATTGTGTGTCACGCGCCAATCCTTGGTCTTGTACCTCTTCCTGTGGTCATACCTACAACAAAATGATTGTTAGTTGTACCATACACACCTCTGAATTATAGCTTTGTTATTAATCGATAACGCACCTGTGCAATTCTTGGTTGGTGGAGTAAAGCGGTGGTGGGTAGCCTGACATTCTTCCAAGCTACCTGCAAACCCTGATGGGCAAGTGAATCTCGACTACGTGGAAGAAAATAAGAGGGATGTTGCAACGATACTCGTCTGACTCATCCCTAGTGACAGGACTCAGATAGTCCTGGAGCTCCGGAGCATCCCAAGGACAACAATGCACCTAAATATTTCATAATTAAGTTAGGTTGTGATATAGTGTACATCGAACAAGACACATGTATGATAGTAAAGAGAGTGTAACCTAATGCTGTGTTAGGACGTCAAGACAGTCCATGTACTCCCTATACTTGCGCCTCGCATTCCCTCTAACTAACTCTACTTGTGTCCAGATATACAGAGCTATAGGGAGTGTATCCTGCCCGTTCCAATGCTGCATTGAACACGATAATGAATTAGCCATTAATAATTTCATCATATGTAACTGCCTCGAAGAATATAGTGAACCGAAGTACTTACAGAGAAACTAATAAAAAGGGGCCTCCCAACGGGCCATCGTTCCCAACACCAAACCTAGAGTAGGTAGGAGCAACCCCCAAGGTTCGCATACCCTGAGGTGCGACGGCAGGCAACGCATAGCTGTCGATACGTCCATGCCAGGACTGCGCTGCCCCAGCTGTACACCGCTATGTTATCCCACGGCTGGCGTAGTATGTCAAGAAAGATCCAGCTGATGGTGTTGCCCGAGGCGTCTGGGAATAGAAAAGCACCAAGGAAGGACCAGAGCCACACTCTTGCAAACCCGTCGATCTTTACCTCATCAGCCTATGAGTCCAAGTAATCAAAGCGCTCTGTGATCCACGACGACGAAACACCGAAACTTTTCCTAAAATTCACCAAAGAAATGAGACCCGATGGATGCAGGAAAGCAATGCAAGTATTAAATAGGCTTGAATTGCTCACTTATTTTTCTTGGAAACCTTATCGTTCGGTGGAAGAAAGCTAGTGAACTGAGCCACCAGCTCCCTCCAGTGATCGTTGTCAACTATACCTGTCACTGGAAGTCCCCCCGACCGAAGGCCAAAGATAGCCTTCACGTCCTGCATGGTCAAGGTCATCTCGCCACAAGGTAGGTGGAATGTGTGGGTCTCAGGCCTCCACCTGTTATAAGAATAGAACGACTATTAGTTACCTCAAATTTATTATAAGAATGTTTACGTACAATGAAGGCACTCACACCTGTCTACAGTGCAGTAAGTAGTGCTGGGTCAAGGGGCGGAAGATCATAGTTGACAACACGGACAAGCTCGAGTAAGCCGGCACACCATAAGTACGGTGCGTAACGCTCGTCCCACTGGTGCACCCTGGTGTGCGTGCGAGGCCTCAAAGGAGGCAAGGGCACCTCTACGTCGGTGTCAGTCAAGAAGTGTGCTCGGTGCGGGTCGTCGTACTCCACCTCAAGAAGGGGGTATAATGGGTGCTACGTGGGAGGGGCCATCCTGTTACAAATTGATAAACAAAGGGTTAGAATATTCAAATTAACAATATTCAAATTAACATTATGTAGCATTGCAAAATTTGAACTACTTGTTATGCAATACGAACACAATATGAAAGCACATGTATATATTCAAAGTAACATTAACAGGCATATTAAACAACTTCACTAGGAAAATAAGCAACTTCTATGTATAGCTGTTCGGACACAAGACAACTAGAAGATGCCATAACCGCATTTGCTATATAGCTTTCCTTTCTTTTCCATTGCACTGTTGATTTACAATATATAAATTACACAATCTATAATTGGGGAGATGCCATAACTGCATTTGCTATATAGCTTTCCTTTCTTTCCTCTCATGATAGCCCGTTTCCATCCACCAGAAGCGACGGCCTTTCCCCACTCGCTCCCCACATTTAAGCATTTACACCCAACTTGAAAAGACAAATTAAAGCCATGGCTTCGGCTAACGAGTATGCTAAAAGCTTCTTTGCCAACTTTAGAATGAAAACGAATGCGGATAATACGGGAAGCTATTCACGGCACCGCGCTAATGAGTATGCTAGAGGTTCCGTTACTAACTGCTATACGAAAACGAATGAATGTATCTATGGGCGGGTGAACGTATCTATGGACAATTTAGGAAAACAAAACCATGGTTTCGTGCCGCTGAGTATGCTAAAAGCTTCTTTGCTAACATTAAAATAAAAATAGATACAGATAATATAGAAAGATAACCATAGCCCCACGATAATAATATATATACTAGAAGCTTCTTTGCCAACTCTAAAACGAAAGGTGATGAATATATTTTACAAAAGAAATTTAACGAAACATACATGCAGAATTCATCGCACACGAGACTGTTGATATCCCTAACAAATACCTATATGAATTTTACAAAAGCTAGCTGAATTTTACAAATACCTATGTGCGTGGCCGGAGGGCGCGGCGGGCGGCCGGAGGGGGTGGCGGGCACAGCGGGCGGCCGGCGTTCGTGGTGCGTCCGGCGCGGCTGGCGGCCGGCCGGCCAGGCGCGGCCGCGGGAAGGCAGACAGAGGGAGGGCGGCTCGCGAGCGATATTTACCTGGGACTGCCGCGCCGTGAGGGATGGCCGGCACTGCCGCGCCAAGATACAAATAAACTTTATTTGAAGATACAAATATCGATATTATTTTCTATATAACTAGTTAAATTTAAAAGAGTTTGACTCCACGAGAAGTTTAACATGCAATTATTTGGTATGGAGAGTATATACTAGCATGCTGTCATATGCAACGATTGAGCCCTTTGTGCGCTGACCGATAGATTCATCGACTTCTTTTCACACAAGCCGATAGCTACTCATTTCTGACGGTCGTTGCTCCTCGCAGCATGACACAGGGATTTCGATTTCTAAGTCGTTGCCCTCAACCACTTAGATCTGTCAACAGTTAGGACGACAGGGAGGGAGGGAGAGAGTAAGATGGAGAGGCTCTCTACCTCGTCGAGCTCATCTGCCGTCGTCGTCAGATCTAGAAGAGGTCACCCTTAATAGTGCTCTCAGTTGTGCCCCTATAGGGCCACCGCCGTTGCATCATCTGTCGGTCGCACGAGTGATCCACCTCGGCCTCGCCTACTCGCCATCGGGGCAGTGGCTGCCCGCCCGGCCCTATTCACCACCATCGGTAGGTGCCAAGAGGTGGGCGCCAGGTGCACCAACCACCAATAGCAGGAGCTGGAGCAGGGAGGCACATGGTTGCCGAGGGAGGTGCAGCTTGGGTGGAAGAGGATATGTAGACTGTAGAGAGGTGTTTGGCGGTCGAGAGAGAGGTGTGTCCGGGAGAGGGTGGAGTACGAGGCGAGGGAGTCGGGATGGAGGAAAGACAGACCGGACCAGATGGGCCTTTTACATAGGCGGAGATAGTGTAAATATTTTCCATTGGTATATTAGGGTTATATAAGAAATTTAGCACATAGAGTTGTCTCTAAACAATGAAATTTTATTTTAGAACTTCGAAAGAGTACCTCACTAAAAAAAGAGATATATAAGGCAGGCATTACTGATTAGCTACTATATACAAATCCCAAACTACAGAATCGAATCCATAAATACATATGCAGATTCTATTGTTTAAATAAAATTCATTGTACATCTGGATCTGGAGAGAGTAAAAAATGTTTAGAGATTGAACGAATATACAGCATTTGATGCGCGGTTGCAGCTTTTTGTTCCCTATACCTGAATCCAATCCAAATCACGAAATTAATAATGATATATATATATATATATATATATATATAAACGAGCTTTTGTTGCAAGTCTACCTATGTCAGTGACTGCTCTTTGTTATCCCAATGGAGGGAGTAGTTCGTTGCCATAATAATTATTAGAGTAAAATCCACCGTGGGTGCTTAAACTTATTTGGTATTTCCAAATAACTCCATGTATTTATAAGATCAGATTTTCGGGTTAGATCTTAAACTTGTCAAACGTATCACCAAGGTCCAAACCGGTTTTAGATCCGTGTTTTTGCACACTTGTCTCCTTAGTTCAACTGCGCAAGGCCTGACTGACCACGCACACTTCGTAAGCTGATGCGCCCGCAGGCAACCACGAACGGGGTCGGATGCTACGCGCCCGCCGCCACCTGCCAGCATAGCGACAGGCCCAGCCCCTGAGCCCCATCACCGTGTTGAACAGTGGGCCCGCATAGCTCCCGGACACCGCCGTCTGCGCGTTGCCAGAGCCGCTGTGCACCGCCATTGCCGTGCGGAGGGGAGTTCGCGTCCGTGGCGGCCACGGCGAGCTCCACGTGTAGGAGGCCTAGGAGCACGTACGCGCCCACTTCATCCCGGACGCCAAAAATCGCCACCGAGTAGGCTGCGTTGCAGCGTTGGCGTCAATGTCGCTGTACCGCTGCATCGCCATGAGCACCAGGGGGCATGGCACAGTAGACAAGGGTGATAACCAACATGGACGAGATGAGGCCCAACGGCACGTCGCGGCACCTCGGTCATGGTGGCCACCATGTCGAACCCCGTGTAGGACCAGTACACGATGGCCGCAGCGTGGAAGGCGCCAGCAGAGCCGAAGGGGAAGAAGACGGCGCGAGGTTGGCAAGCTCGAAGTGCGTGAACCCCGCGGCCCGCACGAACGCGATGATGGCGATGCCGACCACGAATGCTATCGAGTTGATGGTGCGCGCGGTAGACATGACGAGCGCGGAGGTGGCGCATAGGATGACGACGGCGATCGGGTCCAGCAATTGAAGCCGTCGCAGGCACGTGGATGCGGAGCGCGGTACGTGCTCGTGCAAAGGGCTGATGTTGTGATGCCTGCGTGCATCAGTGCATCAGTGCATGTGCCATGTATAGTATGTGCTCATTTGATGCTCGTGTGCGTGATGACGATGTCGTTGGTGGTCACCGGGGACGGTGACTCCAGGAGCTTCCTATCGTGCTCGAACAGCCAGGATGGGAACGAGGTGCCTTCACGTGACGGCGCAGCCGCCGTGGACGACAGGCCGCTGCCGCTCTCAATTAACCAGCCATTGTTGATCAGCAAACCCAAGATTAAGCGAGGAGCAAGCAATGGAGCTCATGCTCGGCGGCTTCGGCGACCCGGCGTTCTCGGTGGCGGTGCAGCAGTTGATGGACCTGCCCGACGAGCCAGAGCGACAGCCGACGACGCGGGCCTACGTGCACGACCACCGGGCCATGGCCAACACGTACGCCCATGGACATCAAGGAGCTATAGTCCGGGCCGATCGCCCTGGCTGTCGACATGCCCGTGGTCAGCCTCTCTGACGTCAAGGTTTAGGTGGAGGAGGGCAACATGCGCCTCTCCGAGGATGGAGGACCTATCGGCCAGCGGATAGCCGATAGGCCTATCGGCCCGATATGGTCTACTTGTCGTGTCCGCTCCGGAGACTTGTCGGCTTCTGGATTGTCGATATGTTCCTGTCGGCGATCCAGAAGCCGATACGTCTCTACTAATGACTGATAACAATGGTGATGTAATTGGGCCTGGTTCCAAAGAAACATGCACACAGTAGTGGAATCCATATGTAGTGTATGTTGGACCACCATATTGCCAATGGCAACCCAATTGATGTATGGCTTGATTTAGAATGGCTTGAAAGCTGTGCGTAGGTTAAGTCATGATACTTAACCTCTAAGTGTTAACAAAAAAATAGAATATGAAAAACATGAACATAGACATAACAATAATTCTGAATATAAACTATGAGATCCAATTTTACTTTACCAAATCAAGCGTTGTGGTTGTGTTGGGCAATCGTTCCATTAACAGTTGCCATATCAGTAATGCCCTCATTTAAAGCTTGTAATATGATGGATGAGAATGTCTTCACAAGCATCCTTAAACAGACTATCACAACATATTTATCTGCATATCCAATGGGGTGCGCTCATCCTCATCTCCAAGATTTGCATAATCTCACCATGATTAACCTACCTAGCACCGAAAAGCCTATTTGACATTGTACTAATTGTCCATTCCACCTAGGGAATCTCTCAACATTTATATGTCATTAACCTCGAAAAAGGAGAGTGTCCCTTAGAGCCATGGGATTGGCTTTATTCGCATTGCAAGTACTAAATACCTATCACTATGTGAAAAACGGTTTGTAGCAACAGGACAAATTCTTTTTAGGGGCGGCTGGTGATGGAGCCGCCCCTACAGTGGCGTGCTCAGGAGCTCAGAGACCAGCCGCCCCTACAAATGGAACAGCAGGAGTGGCTGGTGATACGAGCTGCCCCTACAAATGGATCGGATTTGTAGGGGCGGCTCACTCACTAGCCGCCCTTGGTGTTACTATTTATAGGGGCGGCTCAATAACCAGCCGCCCCTACAAATGCTCCAACAAATAAATACTCGAAACCCGCACGCGACGTCGACCGCAGATTCTTCGTCTCTTTCTCCTCTCAGCCCTCCCTCCCTCGTTGGCGAATCGACTCAAATCCTAACCCCTCTCCTTGATAATCCCCACCCATGGATCGTGACCGCTCCTCGTGCCGCACTCGCGACAATGACGGGCACCACCAATCCCGCGATCGGGACGACGACCGACACCACCGCCGCAGTCGCCACGACACCGACGCTCACCACCGGCACGATGGCGGGGACGAGGACCACCACCGCCGCCACCACCGCGACAAGGATGGGGGCAGAGGCGGCGAGGATGACCGCCGCCACTATCACCATCTCGACAAAGAGGACATCCATAGCCACCGCTACCGTGATGGCAGGGACGACGATCGCCGCCACAGGAACCGATGGTCCATTTCCCTGTTCGAGTCCCCGCCACCCTCGTCGAAGCGGGACCGCTCGTCTAGCCGCCCACGGGAGTCCGTCGAGCGCCGCGACTACACCAACCGCGAGCCGCGGTCATTATCGTAGAAGCGGAAGGGCCACGAGGGCGGTGGCGATGGGGACGAGCCCGGCCGTGAAGGGGGAAAGCGGGCTAGGGCATCCATAGATCCGCCTCCGCCCAAGGAGGAGAGGCCTAGGCGGGAGCGCCGGAGGTTTGAGGATGTCGATGCGATTGGGAAGAATGGTGATGTGAGTAAGTTGGGTAAGGAAATCTCATCTCATGAGCAGAAGAAGGGGGAGCTATCAATTAACGGGGATTCACAGAATGGTGATGCGCGTAATGTAAGTGTTATTACAGTTACTGAGTTACGTTTATTGTGTTTTCATGTTGATTACTAAAGCTTGGGCAAGAGAATGCTTATGAGTGCTAGTATATCCTTTTTGTCAAGTGAGCGATGGTCTTACTACTAGTTTCTGGGTTATGGAAACCTAGAGAAATGGAATGGCTAGATTATTGGGTCATACTATTTGCTTAGTTCATAGAATATCAGTTCATAATCTATCATCTGTCTAGAAAATGTTGAAGAGCTTAAAGTCTTTCTACAGAATCTGTGTTTTAAGGTTCATTTGTTCTCAAGAAGTTTATGCCATCTAAAAAATTGAGTGGTATTGCTTGAATGTCTCCTTGTGAAAATATCTTAGGAGATTAACAGTTACTGAGCTTGATTTGATTAGCCACTGTTATTACAATGCCAACTTTTGCCCTAGATTCAGTAAGAATAAGGCAGCTATGGCAATGCTTCCTAAGTCATAATTATGACTGTTTTGTGCTGTCATAAGTCTACAGTATGCTTTGTTTGACACTTATCAGTTGGAAGTATGGTGCACTTATGCAACTTTTCTTATTATTGTAAATACATTTTAACATGCTACTCAGCAGTCAAGACTTTAATGCAGTCCCCTATTGGTTCATGTTTGCCCAGTGATGGATAGTATAGTTATATTTTTGAGGAATCGAAATGATGTTTTAAATATGAAGTTGTTTGAGGAATGTCATAGTATTTTTGCCCATGCTATAATTTGCCTATTGGCTGTAGATGCTACTTTTGCATTTGGTCGTAGTCTCTTTACTCTGGCAAGGCTGTGGCATTTAAAGTGAATGCCTATTAAAATTGTTCATTTTGATACTTCGGGGCATCACCTTAGTTGGTTAGTATTAAGAAGGTTATCAATATTACCAAAGTTATACTTAGGGGCATGCATCACCTCAGTCGGTTAATATTAGCAAGGTTATCCCTAGGAGTTCAACTTGGTTGGCTATGACCAGTTGGCTGGTGCAATAAAGTATCAGTTTGCCAAATTGGGTTCAACAAGAGCTTCTTTTTCAAAGGGAGAAGCCCGATGACTAGTGGGGAATCTGCTGGTCTGCCCATATAGTGCTTGCTGTCATCTTGTTCTCATACCATATTTGTGATTACCTTTGGAATTATTTTTGTTATTGTATGTTTGGTACCAACCATTTTGACATATGTTGTAGCATAGCTATGGTAACCAGCTACTGCTGGCTTCCTGGAATGTTTGATTCACTTGTTTGTGGGGTAGCCACTGGTGGGATTGGGCAGAGTTTTTAATAGAAAGTTTGTCCTCTATTTCTATATTTGTTTGAGCTACAGCTTTTGGCTTTTGCTTCTGATCGTTACCTCTTTGCTATTGGCTTTTGTAATGATTTTTTACCTTCTGAAGTGCTTTCTAAAGGTTCACAATGGAAAGTACAGCCAAGTTTGGTGTGGTCTAAGAATGGATTCATTTCTTTGGATCCAAATGGTTTGAACCCTTTGGTTTTGATAGGGGAAAACAGGCAAGGTGGATACTTAGTTTTCCATCCCCTTTTTGTGCTAACTCTTTTAGTTTGTTGGACCTAAATGTTTGGGTGGTACATGTTTCACAATATTATTAGTTGGTGTTTAAATATATGAAGAAAGGTTTCCATTTGCTTCTGATTGTGGATGTAGGAGGTTTTAGAAATTGTCCAAGCTAATCACACCAGTTACATGGCGATGAGCATTTCTATCTTTTCATTTTTTGCTCTTGTGGAAATCGACACTAGACCACATCCATCCAATATCAAAAGGTATCATGCTTCTAACTTGCAGAATCTATGGTAAAGTAGCTTACCTGCTTAGTTCTTAGAGATTCCAGTTCATGTGGTCATTGGTGAGTAGATTCTTTCGAGTATGCTTTCCTGAGACATTTTTTTTCTCTTCATGTGTTCCCTTACCAATGCCTTGCATTTCCAGAAGAGCCATGTTAGCTCCGTCTATTTTCTTATGATTCTAAGGTAGAGTAATATTGGCCCGGATCAGAACTGCTACTTCCAGGTCTGTTCTCTTATGGTTCTAAGGTAGAGTATTGGTCCTGATTGGAACTGCTACTTCCTGGTTAGCTTGAGCTTTGCAGCGACAACAGAAAGATCATCAGATTAGGCTGATTATTTGGCTTCATCAATACAATCTCTTTATAGATGCCCCATGTTCCTTTTGATTATAAGATACAAGGGGCCCACTGTTAGTCTTTCCTCTCTCACTTCTTTGTTGATGATGCTCGGCTTGTTGCTCAGCCACTAACTAAATGAAATATTATTGATTTTATTTGGTACTTTTGTGTTTCTATCAGATCACCGCCGAGAGCCTGTTCAAGAACCTCACCCAGGAGAAGGCACTGATGTTTCCCCAGAATGATGAATTGAGTAGTGTAAGAAGTCTGGGGATTCCAATTATTAGCTTGTATCACAGGAGTTTGATGGTGGTTATTAGATCCTCGGTTGTTTCCTTATTTGGAACATTGGCAGTTGTATCATTTGAACTCTGATTAAGGTTGATGGAGACATGGAGTTGCACTTAGCCCCTTATCAATTGTGTTTGGCATTCCGATTGAAGACTACTACAACTGATGGTCCTCATCACCATATTTCTCAGCTAAATTGATTTATTTTTCTTCCGTTGCAACGCACAGGATGATTTGGGGGAGCACGTGTTGGTAATTTGATTTTTTTCGGAAAAATGCACTGTAGGGGCGGTTGGTAATGTAGCCGCCCCTACAAATCAATTTGTAGGGGTGGCTGGTACTGTAGCCGCCCCTACAAATAGATTTGTAGGGGCGGTCTGGGAACCGCCCCTACAAATGCATGATTTGTAGAGACGGTATGGTAGGGGCGGCTGGCCAAACCGCCCCTACAAATGCTCATTAGCCGCCCCTAAAAATCATATTTGATGTAGTGTATCAAGTTCATCTAATTAATATGAACACACATCTGCCAATAATCCAGATATATTCTTCCATGGAGGCCCTTGCAAGGTACACACAGATACAAACCAAACAAAGTAGTCAGCCAGCTCAGCTCTTTAGGACGACGACAGATAGGGGAAGTTGGGAGCCTGCTTTTGCGTGCGGTTGGGTCCCTGGATCAGAGGGCCTGCATGATCAGCGCCTTTGATATGCCTCGGCCACCCCCTGCCGCAACTTGTAGCAACAGCCTCGCCACGAGGATCACGTTCACAACTGCATGGAAGCACGGCCACCATCACCACCCTCGCCATCATCGCCGCTCGCTTCAGTGCCACCATTGCAAATAATTTACATGTCATTTTCCTGACTTATAGCCCACATTGTGGCAGGTTCTGAATGTTGTTTTTGCCTCTAAGGGGCATGTGCCCCCATGTGCGAATGTACCGTTGAATACACATGGGGATGCGTGTGTAGTAGAAATCTCTCTCCTGCACATGAGGGCATGTGCCTTTAGGAGCAAATTTTCTACGTTTGTGGTAGGTTTGTATCGGTTTATACCATCAAGGCTACCCCTGTAGCTCTCTCGCTCACTACTCTTATGAGCTTGATTGGGGGCATTCCGAGGGAATATGTTCTGAAAATTAGGCAACGTAGTAATGCACCCCTGCACCGTGAAAGTAAAGCAAAGTGGATAGATTATTTTGCCTAGGTAAACTTTTCAATTCTCTATTTCAGGAACGAGGTTGCACGCGTCAAGAGCCTACACGTGGTGTTAAAAATACTCAAAACGACCATCTCACTGGCTGGGGCAACAACAATGGCACTATATAAAGGACACAAAATAGAGATGAAACACCATTTTGTTCATATCCATGTAAACAAGCAATTGCATAAAGAGTGGATCAGAGGGTCAATTCTGGTGACAACAAGCTGTATCTCTTGGTCTGTATGGTTCACCATGTAGGTTAACACCACAAAGTTGATTCCAGTCAATTTAATTTTGTGTAAATGCCAAATATCCAATATTTAAGTTCCACTAAACCTGGCAACTAAGATTTTATATTTTTTTGGTCTGACACTAAGATTTTCATGACAAGCAACACATCAAAATAGCTGGTCTTGTGATATACTCCAAAACCTCATTGTTTCGAATTGTGACATTTCTTGCTTAAGTGAAAACAAATAATTTACATGTCATTTCGGTGACTTATAGCCCGCTTTATGACAGGCTGTGAGGGCATGTGCCCTTATAGGGTCAATATTTCTGTGTCCTAGGTATGTTTACACCATTGAGCGCTACACGACAGCTCTCTCACTACTCTTATGTGTTTGATTGGAGGCATCTAATCATCAATTTTCACCTTCATAACCCAGAAAAGGGATGAGTGGGTTATCATATTCAGCCTCAACCTCTAGTGCATAGTTTACTCATCAGTGGAGTTGTCACAGTAAGACATTTTTGTTTGCTCCATTCCAACAATAATTGGTTTCAGGGACTGGCCTATAATAGTTTTATATCCGTGGTGCAGTTGCCACTGTAATGGTGTTTGTGACAATGTGTTGACCCGGTTGCCGCTGTATTGGTGGCACTGATTTGCTACTTCATGTTTTGCGAAAAGCTATATATCAAAAGGTAAAATCTTGCCCTTCATCTTGAAATTTTATTTACCGATATAGCTAAACACCACATAGTTTCAGCTAAATCGACTTTTAGTCGCCCCTACAAATGATCCTATTTTTAGGGGCGGCTTTAGATCCAACCACCCTTACAAATCGATTTATAAATGCGTTTGAATCTAGAGCTGTCTCTAAAAATATGTGCCAAACAATAAAATTACATATTAAAATTTAATTTTTTCAAACAATCTCGGACGGAGACATGACCAAAATGAAAGTTATAGATCTCGAAAAGTTATAGAACTTTATAGTTGACAATATTTTTATTTGAATTCATATATCCATGGAAAATTATGTTTGAAGTTCTCACATTTGAAATTTGAATTTTTAAAACGATCTCAGATGGAGAAATGACCAAAAGGAAAGTTGTATATCTCAAAAAGTTATAGAGCTTTGTAGTTGACAACTTTTTTATTTAAAACCATCTATCTGTGGAAAATTATGTTTGAAGTTGTCACGTTTGAAATTTGAATTTTTGAAGTGGCCTTAGATGGAGAAAAGACCAAAACAAAGTTGTACATCTTGAAAAGTTATATAACTTTGTAGTTGATAACTTTTTCATTTGAAATAACTTATCCAAGAAAAATTACGTTTGAAGTTCTCACATTTGAAATTCAAATTATAAAATGTCCTTGGATGGAGAAACTACCAAAACAAAAGTTGTACATCTTAAAAAGTTATATGACTTTGTAGTTGACAAAATTTTCATTTCAATTCGTTTAAGGTCCCAACCAACCATTTCAAAATCTAATGAGTATAATACTAGGAGAAAGCATATCTCATAAGGATACAAGTTAGTCTGGATGGAGTCGTTAAGAGGAGTGACTTGTAAGGTGTGAGGTCGTGGTTTTGATTCTAGTGGCCACGGTGTGTGTGTGTTTTGCCTGAAAAAACTTGTGATTTTGCTATTTTTGGTCTAGATTTGTAATTTTTTTGGAAAAAATATAAGGCACTACTGGAAACGGGATCTTTGTCGAGTGTCAAAAATCGGGCACTTGGTAAAGACCTTCTTTGCCGAGCGCCGGGCACTCGGCAAAAAAGGCTCTCGGCAAAGAACTTCTTTGCCGAGTGCCAGGCGCTCGGCAAAAGCACGGCACGCTCGGCATAGGCTGCCTAGCGTAACGGTGTTTGGCCACGTCCTTCTTTGTTGAGTGCCTGCTGTTTGACACTCGGCAAAGAAGGTTTTTTTTTTAAAAAAAAATCTTTGCCGAGTGTCCTAGATCTGGCACTCGGCAAAGTTTTTTTTTAGAAAATACTTTGCCGAGTGCCCCCGATCTGGCACTCGGCAAAGATTTAATATTTTTTTAAAAAAAATTATTTGCCGAGTGTCTCATATTGGGCACTCGGCAAAGATTTTTTTGAAAATACTTTGCCGAGTGCCCCTGACACGGCACTCGGCAAAGATTTTTTTTTCGAAATTTCTTTGCCGAGGCAAAGAGGAAATTTCTAAAAAAATATCAGAACCCTCTTTGCCGAGTGCCTTATCCGTGGCACTCGGCAAAAACCCTCTTTGCCGAGTGCCATGCCATGGCACTCGGCAAAGTTTTTTATTGCCTCTAAATTTTTTTGCAGCCCTTTTAAGGTACCAGGAACTCCTATATAGAATTTGGGGATTTTTTTGTGGCTTTTTGATATATTTAGTTACTTTATTTTGTTTACTTGAATTTTTTCGAAAAATATAAATTTGAACTGCACGTGGTACGAATAATGAAATTTAATGATTCAAAAAATGATAGTCATGTTAGTGAGTGTAGTGTGAGGCCATATCCAGGAGCGGACCCGAAATTTCAAACATCTTGTTCACGAAACATGACCGCGAACTTGCGTGCGAAGTGTTTTTAAATTCTATAAAAAGCAAACAAAGTCCGAAAATCATAAAACTTGTGGAGATGTCGTGATATCGTATGTGGAGGTTATGATAAAAATTTGAGAATATTTAGTGCACGTTGTCACGTACGATGTTTACAAATCAAGACATCTCTACATGTGATATCAGATATCATATGTGGAGATGTCCTAGTTTGTAAGCATCGTGCGTGATAACGTGCATCAAACCTTCTTAAATTTTTATCACATCCTCCACATACGATATCATGACATCTCGATAAGTTTCATGATTTTTGGATTTCGTTTGCATTTTATAGAATTTAAAAACAATTCATCCACAAGTTTGTGGCCATGTTTCGTGAACAAGATGTTCGAAATTTCGGATCCGTTCTTGGATACGGCCTCACACTACACTCAATACCATGAATATCATTTTTTGAATCATTAAATTCCATTATTCGATGCACGTGCAGTTCAAATTTATATTTTCCAAAAAAATTCAATTAAATGAAATAAATTAACTAAATATAGCAAACAGTTCGGGAAATGTACCAAATTTCGACATAGAGTACCAAGTACTGTAAAAGGACTATAGAAAAAGTTTGGAGGTCAAAATACAAAAAAAATATAGGTTTGCCGAGCGTAAAAAAATAACACTCGGCAAAGAAGCCTCTTTGCCGAGTGTCAAGAGAAGACACTCGGCAAAATTTTTAAAATTTTTTAAAAACCCCTCTTTGCCGAGTGCTAGTCCGGTTGGTACTCGGTAAATAATTTTTAAAAATTAAAAAATACTTTGCCGAGTGCCAGATCGAGAACACTCGGCAATTTTTTTTTTTAAAAAAAACATCTTTACCGATTACCAGGCTAGTTGACACTCGGAAAAAAAAATTAAAAAATATTTGCCGAGTGGCTGAGTGATTTAACCCCGCCGGCTGGGCCGGCCACACAGCACACACCACACGCACGCGCCAGCGCCGCAGCCGCCACCGCCCGCGCCCGCGCCGCCGCTGCCCGCGCGCCCGCGCCAGCGCCGCCGGAGGAGGAGGAGAAAGAGAGGAGGAGGAGAGGAGGAGGCCAAGAGCTTGGCAGCGCTCTCGCCGACGCAGCCTCCTGCCGGGCGGCGGCGCGGCAGTCCAGGTCCGCACCCCCGCGGGTGCCGGGCTGCCAGGTGGGCGCTGTGGGAGCGCCATTCAGCGTGCAGCAGGTAGGCGCCGGCCGCCGGGTCGCCTGGGGCGCGGTGCGGCTGGAGTCCACGGGCCACGCCTCCACCTCGTCGCCGTCGGCCGTCGCCTTCCGGTCTTCCTCGTGCGTTCCACTCATCCAGCAGGTGGAGTGCCAGTGCCAGATCCACTCTCCAGCAGGCAGGAACACAGAAGGCCGGCGCCCGGCGCTCCTCATCGGCTCCTCCCCTTCTTCGCCAAGCAGTCAAAGGCTCAAGGCATCAACCATTCAAGCATGGCTAACGGTTAGTACACAGTATTCGGATTTGAGAGTTCGAACTGAACTACTGAAGTGCTTCGTTTTGTTCTCTAATTAGAAGTTGCAACTCAAATGCTTGCTGGTTCTTTACTTACATATAGCATTGATGTCAAATTACAATGTCAGCACTTATTGAATTTGATGAAGCATAAATTGTTTGTTGCTTGCCGCTGCAAAAAGTCAATTCTGTGCGTGTACAGTTAGATGCTCTATGTTACCTCCCTTACTATTTATTTGTTTTTTCACACAATTGATTCTTCAGATACACCAACTCTAGTGACCAGGGAATGAAATAACTGTTGTTATAAGCTAGCCATTGCATATGCATATATACATTCAGACACTGAATTGTTATAAGCTAAGCTAGAGTGCACATTCAATCACTGACACTTTTGCATGAGCTTAGATGCATTATTTTACATGCAGATATATATATCATGCGTGTATATATTATTATGCACAATTACACTGCCAATGATGTGTTTACAGTTTACATGGGTCAACCTTTTCACCAATTGCATCCTGGATAAGTATTGTATCTCCGGACATACTCTCAACCAATTGTCCAGTGGTCATTTCCTTGTCAAAAAATGCAATGTCTTGTCTCAATAGAGATTCAAGATAGAGACCCCGAATGCGAGCTGTCTTTCTCCAGTGATGATCCAACACGCAACCTCTGATAAAACAATGAAAACAGTAACACCTTAGTGCTAATCTATAACTGGCAGCACCTTAAAACGTGAAAAACAGTAACACCTTTAGATGCCCCTGGCAGTATCTATGCTGCAGAAAATGGATCTAAGTAGTTTATTGCTCCTGGTTAATGCTTCTCCTTTCTGAAAGAAGATAATGTTACTATGGGATTTCTTGGTTTCAGAGTTATGGACTTATGGCAATATGAATGACATACCATCATATGAATAGACTTAACACATGATTAACATATAGTTAGATGATTGTGTCTTATTTATGGGACTTCGGCCCCAAAAGGTAGTACGCTCCTCCCCACTCGTGCACTGATCTATATGCTATCTTGTATGGGCCAGTTCAGAATATATAATTCGATATCTATTGGTTACATGTCCAACATGTGTGATTACAGCAGAAAACTACACTACACGAATTTGCTAATTGCTATATTCAAAGAAAGTTAGTATTAACATTGATTAAAGCAGCTATTCATCACGAGCACAGGTCTCAGTTAGAAAAGGCGTTTTCATTTGTTAGTCTAATACAGCTATAGGGATTTTAAGTACTCTCTTCGTTTCAAATTATAAGGCGTTTTAGCTTTTCTAGATACCGCACTTCTGAATTATCTGGTGTATCGATTGAGTTGTTATCTTTCAAGCAAGAAACCAGACACACTGTTACTCTCCTATATCTGCCTTTAAAATCATGAATATGAGGGGTAATGCTCTTCTATGAGTTGTGTTTTCCCACACCTGTCTGCTTATAAATTCATAAGTGAGGAGATGCAAAATATTTATAACTTAGATATAATGCTGATCAATATCAGAGGATGTTACACAGATGCATATAACAGCTGAAGCTTGGATGCTAACTCATGGATGACTCTTATTTTTTACCACGTGTTGCTACAGGATCTGTAAAGAAACATTTTCTAATGTATATCATTGAAGTATTTGTTGTAGTTCCAAATTGATATGTGTGTATTTCTTATGCTCATGCATCCTGTGACCTACTTGTGTTTTCAACTTACTAATGTGTTTTCACTTGCTTTTGTATGTTCTTTTTTTCCAGATGGCAGCTTCCGAATGAACAACCTAACTACTTGGCGTCAACAGCCAATGAAAGGTGGCGAGATAGGACCCCACCTCCCGTGGACCCTGAGAAGTTGAAAGCCGTAATTGCTGGATACTCACAGAGTATATTTTCTTGCCTAAAAAAATTGAGTTCAAGTGTTCTTGAAGATCTTCTGTTCTTCCTAGCATTCTTTAGTGATCCATAATCATGCAGAGTCAATGTGGAACTTTTTTATTATTTAATCCTATAAGTAACATCCTCCTTGCCACTCTGAATGGCAATAGGGCATAGGAGCCCTTGCTAGACTGTTCTGTTTGCCACTCAACCATGGAAAGCGAAATTCAGTTTTAAAAATAAGGTCTGACCTATCTGCGGAACAGCAAAGTTCTGTGCCACCAATGGGGCCCTAGCTAACAAATTCATGTTGGAAATAGTTTGCCTAGGAGTTTATTGTTGAAATAAGCTGTGGATATATTTATGTGATGAAACTTTGGATGTTAGCCTTGAGGCTGTCAAGGGGTTCTTAAGTTCAATGGTAGTGATATTAGTCTCAAAAATTGGAAATTTGAAATAATATGGTTTCACATGGTAGTGATGAAACTCAATCCTTAATAGGAGGAGCAATGAAGAAGATGAAACCTCCTGCATTCAGGATAAAAAATCCAAGTGTCAAGTAGCCCCTCTGAAACAACTCTTGTTTCTCCTTTCAGGTAGATGACGTGAAAACCAAAGGAAAAGATGCACTGCAGCCACGAGCTGATATGATTAAAGAACAAATAGCTCCATTGAGAAGCTGGGTAAGTGAACTTCTGCTAATCTTGTTCTGGCTAAACAATTGCTTATTGTATTTCCCTTCAGCACATTGCCCTTCAGTTTTGTTCAAGTTTGCTTTGGGGCTGTCAGCTGTGGACTATTGTGGGTCTGTGACAATATTGACTTACCATTCCATGTATTGTAACTGCAGGCTGAAGAAATGTCCCGAAAATGGCATTTCGAAGGCAATAAAGAAGCGAAGGAGAAGTCTGTCATCATTAGAGAGCTTTCAAGAGCTCTGGGCTCCAGGACTACCCCTAGTTGATCACCAATGACAGACGGCTGCTGTAAATCCACCATTATCAAGTCATCCACTTTGTTGTATGCGTCGTTATCGTTTTCCATATGTTTGTGTATAGGAAACAGTACATCCTGAGATATATCGACCAAACTGAATCGATATGTACAATATTCATAGTTTGGGCTTTCTGATAGAGGAGATTGGGATCCAAGTCCACATCATGGAGCACTTGGATTACTTATGAACTTATTTGTCATATATTGTGAGACATGTGACGTTTGTGATATATATGTGATGTTTGTGATATATATGTGATGGATGAGATATATATGTGATGAATGAGATATATGATTGTATGAATTTATTTGTCATGATAGAATGCAAAAAAATTTAAAATTACCGTTTTGGGTCACTTTGCCGAGTGTTGCACTCGGCAAAGGACACATTTGCCGAGTGCCATGGTCACAGCACTCGGCAAAGCTGGAAAAATGGCCGCTCGGAAAACCATTTTTCCAGCTTTGCCGAGTGTCATGACCATGGCACTCGACAAAAAAAAAATTTCAAAAAAAAAATTCAAACTTTGTCGAGTGCCGGCCAGAGGGCACTCGGCAAAGATTTTTTTTTATAAAAAAAATACAAACTTTGCCGAGTGCCGGCCAGAGGGCACTCGGCAAAGATTTTTTTTATAAAAAAATACAAACTTTGCCGACTGCCGGCAAGAGGGCACACGGCAAAGATTTTTTTTATAAAAAAAATACAAACTTTGCCGAGTGCCGGCAAGAGGGCACTCGGCAAAGATTTTTTTTTAAAAAAATTCAAACTTTGCCGAGTGCCGGTTTAACTTTGCCGAGTGCCGGCAAGAGGGCACTCGGCAAAGATTTTTTTTTAAAAAAAATAAAAAATCTTTGCCGAGTGCCGGCCAGTGGGCGCTCGGCAAAGCCACCGTCAACGGGGCCGGTGCCGTGACGGTCGCTTTTCTTTGCCGGGTGCCCGATAAAAGGCACTCGGCAAAGAGGTCTTTGCCGACCAATTTTTTGCTGAGTGTTCGCAAAGGCTTTGCCGAGTACAATTGGGCCTTTGCCGAGTGCATCAGGCACTCGGCAAAGAACCCGAATCCAGTAGTGAGGGCAGCTTGTTTTTCGGTGAGTAGGATGGCTGGCCCTAGCCGCCCATAAAAAGCCTCCCTATAGTAGCGAGTGCCATTGCAAAAAAATTAAAAGCTAGCAATTAATATATTAAGCGGCTAAGCTAGCCAGGACTAGGAGATTTCTTTGCTAGTAGTTTGAGTATATATATGTGTATGTACGTCAAATGATGCACAATGTTTGCCTTTTATAGTATCGTGATTCAATTCGTGACGCTTGCTTAACCAGCCTCCCGGAAAGGTAAAACAAAGGACCAGGTCATCAGTTCATCAACTGTTCATTCAAGCCATGTAATATTTGTCACAGGTCAAGCCTAATACAAGTAAGGTGTCAAGCTAGCGCTACACGCGGTTTTCGTCAGCGGTCGGGCGGTCCATTTGAATTCAGATTCGTAAGTCTAATTTGAAGTCCATGCATGATAACCCCAGGTTCGAATCCGGAATCCGTATGTATGCATGCGTGGCTTTTCTTGCTTGGATTTATGAATTCTCGGTCGGTCTATATATGCATGCATGCTAATGGTTGGATTGGACCGACGATGCATGCACAGATACTAGGTACTATACTGCCATACCTTTCACGTATAGTCATCGTGTGTGTGGTCGTATTCAACGATGGAGCCCCTGCGGACGGATTCATCAAGTTCACAAGCCGCTAGTGTTCTGACCTGTTTCTTCCGGCCATTACTGGCAATACACAGCTTCCCAGAAAGTGGCGGTGCTTGGTCAACCAGAAAGTACATGCTCCTCTCTCTCTCTCTCTGAATAAATAGATTCTTAGAGTTATCTTAAGTTAAACTTTTAAATTTTTACTAAATTTCTAGAAAAAAACCGTTAAGATTTATGGTATCAAATTAGTATCATTAGATTTATTATCAAAAAAAATTTCGTAAAGTGTTCATTTTATGTCATAGATGTTGTTACTCTTTTCTATAAATTTAGTCAAACTTAAAAAAGTTTGACTGACATAGATCTTAGGAATTGATTTATTTAGAGATGGAGTGAGCAGTACGCATACGACAGTATTTTGGTGGCATGCAACATTCGGGTGGGGAAGAAGATAAGAGAGAGGGGGAGGTTGATGTCAAATATGAGGGGCAAAAAATTTAAAATGAGTGTTGGCTCCAACAGATAGATTGTATTTTCAAAAATTTGGGTAATGCGTTCATATTTTGACCATTTAACAAATTATATATTTATGTGTTTTAGAAAATAATAAAACTCTTTACTATTTTAGAAAATACGACCTCAGAATGAGTGTTGGCTCCAGCAGAATTGACCGAGAATCTATTCCAACAAGGCAACAAGGCTCATGTCTGACCTCAGAATCCACTGATGCAGTTGAGTATGGCCGAGGCTGTGTTATGGGCTGGGTTTTACGTACAACCACATGCGTGCTTACTTCCGACGACTCCCGGTACCAAATCCGACAGGAAAGGTGTGGTTGAGGACCGGCCGGTTGTATAACTTGTTCATGTAGTAGCAATGCACATTAACAAATAAAGGATGGTTCGAGCCACATGTTATGCATTTAGAATATTGCAAAACTAAAACATTAATAAAAGTCATTTGATATTGGAAAAGAAAGAATGTTTGTCTATAGCATAAGCGCAACTGGGAGTCTCTGGGACCTTTATTACTACTCCAATAAGCCTGAAATCAGTAACCATATATAAGTACAACTTGTGATATGCCAGACTAGTATTTTATTCTCGCATTGTCTTCTGTTCTAAATTAATTAAGTATATACCATATCGAGAAATGTACTAGTATAAACCACTTCAAAAGAATCCATTTTTCCATGCATGCATGGAACTCCATCCTTGAAAGGCATTGTAGTGTAGGCAAGCTATTTACGACGATATGATGGTTGGGGCGGGCAGCCGGGGTGCCCGGGTTTCTTCCAGCTGCAGTTGCCACCGCCCGGGCGTCTCGGTCCACCATTATTGCCCTTGTCTAGCACCTGCATCACCATCGTCGTCCCGCCGTCCGCCCCTGCCGCCGCATGCAGCAAAGGCCTCGCCGCGACGATCACTTCGCGGCATTGCATCAGCAGCACGGCCACCACCACCGCCTTCACCATCGTTGCGGTCGTCGTCGATGCCATGTCAGTCAGACAACCAAATAATCGATCCCTGCTTGCGCGCAACAATCACGTATATATACCACTACTAGTGGAGAGTATGTACGTATACGTACGTAAAATGATGCGTCGAATTAAAGTGGTTTGGTTTTTGTTGGAGGGAACTACTAGCTAGGGAATTGAAGCATGCATGCATATGTATGATGGCTTCCTTTTATAGTTCGTTACCCCATATGCAATGTGTTCTCTGAAAAAGTACAGTAACAACTAAGGACGGGGATGGGTCAGTTCTTCTCCGCGGTCCATATTTTCGGGTCTTCTATAATTTTGTTCTCAGTTGAAGCCAAGCTACGTTACGTTGTTTTTAAATTTCAACTGTCGTTGATCACCGCGGTCCATATTTGAGTTCAATGCAATTTCCAAAGTTTGAAGTCGATGCAATTGTTCTAACGAAAGCTTATATATATGAACTAAAATTATAAGGTGCCTAGTGAGCTAGACCATGTCATATGAACATCCATAACTACTCTGATCCGACCGTGAAACATTGGTTTAATTTCCTCCTTTCACTACGAACGAGTCCCACGGAAATGGTTCAGATAGATACTCTCATGCATTGCCATGTTGTTTGGGTTAAAAATTGTGAATTCTCAGTCGATCTCGGCTACTGGTTGGACCGGTTCATTCGTGAATGTTTTGTACCTTTGAACGGTTCGGGTCGTATATAGTGATGAGTCCCCGCGGACTGATAATATTGATCCATCAATACAAGTTTATATATTATATGCGGCGGGCTTATAAGTTATATATATGCTGCTCTGATTTAAATTATTTATATTATTGTGGTATATATATGTACGTAGCTTCCTAGAACATAGATTCTGGTTTTGTCTCCTTTATGTGAGTATATAAGCGTAAAGTGTGAGCACCATTTCTTAGTTTTGGACATTGAGGTCTTTTTTTAGACGAAAGAAGAATTATATTAGATTATAGTTGGATACATCATTACGTTACAAACACTCTGTAATACACTATATGTCCAGAATTTGATTTTCATCTAAATTATACCCACACTGTGCATTGCTCCAAATCTCAAATCCAAACCTGTATAACGCTTCGTATGGATGGCTGTATAGGCAAACACTCGTCAAAAAGCCTGAGAACAGATGCCCAGCGAACGACGGCCAACATTCCTGTAGGCGGACTTAGAAAGTTGTTCTTTCTTGTGTATTCGTTGTTCTTCTTTCTGCCACTGAAAAATGAGGAAGACTGATCTGAAACTTATTCTCCCTAGTCCTTCATCATGGCCAGATCTAACCACAATAAAATGGAGAAGAGACCGGAGAAAATTATTCTATGGCGGCGACATCATCTCGGCCTTGATGTCACTGTTCGAAAAGAAAAGTCTCCATGTCGTCATGCCGAGGAAGTTGTTGACACCGTAGTTGTCGCCCTCATCTTCAACAGAGCCACCATGGAGAAAAACGAATCCACCTGTCTCCTCGCCCGTCATTTGAAGAGGAGGAGAAAATCTTTTTCCTATGATTTTCGCATTTGCCTAGCCCACTTATCGGCCTAATCACCGGCTTGCCTTTTTTTTCTATGTCCGTCAACCCAACCTCTCGCTTCGCCCTTTTTCTTCTTGGTTCTTCCATTGGCACACTCCTAGAGCTGCGGTCGGATAAGCACAACATGCCCAACCAATGCAGCCTCTCATGTCTTACTATTAGCGTGTGTTTGGTTTGAGGGTTGAACTGGGTTAGTTGGATCAGGCCCTTTTTTAGAGGTGTTTGGTTTGGATTCCAAATTAAGGGTTGAGTTCATCCCAGTAGGGAAAATGCCCTTAATATGCGGGTTCGTCTAATTCCTCCAAAATGGAGAAACCGATCCAACCCACTTCGTTTTCCTCAAACATGTGAACATGTGCTTTAGGCCTGAGCTGCGAGGGCACGATGCTTGAGTTCTGGAGGCGATAGCGGTCAGATTTCGGCAGCAAGGTCGGGCGGAGCTCCGGTGGCGAGGGCGCGGCGGATCACCCTAGGCGGTGTATGGGAACGAGCTCGTGGTGGAGCGGCGACGGTGGTGCTCGGGGCCATAGTGTCGGGGATGGAGCAGGCTGCACGTCATCTGGGCAGAGCGGTATCGGGCGAGGAGCCGGCGGCGTTTGCGTGATTGCGTCGGGAGAGAAGAAAGGTAGGGGAAGAAGGAAGAGAAAGAGAAAGGCAGGGGCCCACATGCCAGAATCCGCAACCCACATCCATTTGCCTTCGAACCAAATAGAAATCTAGGATAACTCCATCCCTCTAACCAAACATGAGATGGATTCGACCTTACCCAAAAAGGTGAGGTGAAACCAACCCATTCCACGTGGCTCCAAACCAAACACATGCTAACTGAGCTGCGAGCTCCATGGGCCAATGCTAAAACTAGTCTCTCTCTGGGTCACGCGCAAATGACATGATGGCATTAACGGTAGGCACTTCACTTGAGAGTTGAGACGAGGGTTTTAGATGTATTCTTTTTCTATCGTAGTCTTATGAGGATAAATATGGATGCTCTATTAGAGCCTGCAATTTTTCATAGTAAGGAAAAGAAACTGAGACAACGAAATATCATCTTTTTCAATAAAGACATTAAATATTTGCAGAACGAATACAATCATAGGTGCAATTGGGACCTTTATATATTATTGTAAGCCTAAAATCAATAATCTAAGTTGTTGCCTTGTATCACCAAGCTAATAACTGACGGTGCAACAACTTGCTGATTGCAAGTCGAGCTATGTCAGAGGCTGCTTTATTCTCGCAAATTGTCTGTTCTACCTAAACCAAATATCTTATCGATCTACTATAAATAAATAGCTTAAAAACCGTTTTCCATGGAATAGTTGAACAACGAACGAAGATGCATGGCGCAGCACCCGAGCAGCACTCTACGACGATGGTTGGGGTGGCCGGCAGGGGTTCCCGGGTTTCGTATAGTCGCAGTTGCCGTTGCCGGGACCGCCCGGCGACCCCTTGCCCTTGTCTAGCACCTGCCCCAGCTGCCAGCCGCCGTCGTCCGCCCCCCGCCGCCGCATTCAGCAACGGCCTCGCCGAGAGGATCACGTCGCAGCATTGCATCAGCAGCACGGCCACCACCACCGCCTTCACCATCGTTGCCGCCGTCGTCGATGCCATGTCGATGCTACGTTTGATTGCAAACAAGCTGGGGCTAGGTGTGCGTTGTTGCTACTTGCTAGCTAGCTGTGAGGAGTATATGTGCGCGTACGTGGAAGAAAGCGTCGAAGTGTTTGTTTTTGGTTGGAGGGAAGCATGCATGATGGCTTCCTTTATAGAGTTCGTTTCCCATATGTCTGATCAATGGCCGAACAAACATACTAGTACATTACTATGGACCGGGTACCATTTTCGAGACTTCTAAATTTTGTTCTCAGGTCAAGCCTAAGCCTAGTTACACGGTTTAATTTTCAAACTGTTGATCAGCGCGGTCCATTTGAGTTCAAATTCTGAAGGCTGAAGTCGATGCAAGTGTCGTAACGAAGGCATATGAACGAACTCCCTAGCTAGACCATATATATATATATATATATATATATATATATATATATATATATATATATATATATATATATATATATATATATATATATATATATATATATATATATATATATATATATGAACATATATAACTACTATACGAACTCCGATCCAACCGTGAAATATCCGTTTCCTCGATTCAGAAATGGTATTCGGCAAGTGTTCTAGCTTCTCATTGCCTTGTTGCTAGGGTTCGTGAATTCTCAGTCGATCTGTGCTTACGGTTGGACCGGTTCAAGCGAGAATGTTTGTGACTTTGGACACGTACGTACGGTTCGGTCGTGTATTCTATGAGTCACCGTGGACTAATCTCGATCATCATGTTCATGTCATATATCTCGATCATCGTGTTCTACGTAGGCCGTGTAGTACTGCCCTATTTCTATTGTCCATGCATTACGATCACAAGAGTAGTACTGTAGGCTGTATGTAGCTTCCGAGGATAAAGCAGCGCGCCTCCAACACATTTCTTCGATCATGTTCTCGCAGTCAAATTTTGAGTAGACCCGCGCTGATTGCATGTACTTGGACTCCGGTGCGTTACATCGGACGGTCCGGTGTAGCCGCTCAGGTCAAGCCTGAACGAATTGGATTTAATCATCTTATATTGAAATCATTAGTTTACTAGTTGTCACTTAATTAGCAAAACGTTTTTGTTCCTCGTTGGTGAGGCTTTCTTTTAGCGTTCAGGTCTTTTGTAACATTACAAACTTGTTTTCATCATAGATGTGGCTTAATTCCTTTCTTATTACTACCATGGTATGAATCAGTATGGCCTCAAGTAAATACACGTTCAGGTGTTCGTAACATTACAAAATCCCAAGCGTGGTGCGTGCATGTGTGTGCCATATATTATCAAAATTCCTTATATTGGGTAAATTAAATGTGCTTTATGAATCTACAGCTAGAAGGGACATGCAACCATTGCAAGATCATGTGGATGTCCCAGTACAACTTTTAATCTTAAAGCGGCTCTGTGGTCTTATATTGCTATTGGAAGACTCAGCTAAGGGTGTGAAAAAAGTGTCCTAGGCGCGGGGCGGAGCTCTTGGCTAGCTGGGCGTCGCCATGGCCTCATTGCTCGCCGTGTCGCACGTGTCGTCTGTCACAACCATATATAAACACGTGCCTATATATATGATGTCATCTGTCACAACAATACAAACACATGCGTGTCACACGTGTATATGACTACACGTATATAGAAGATATAAGATATAGAGACACTTGCATACAAGAGTACCAAGTTTTACCAAGAGGACTAAGAGGATGTTTGGTTGGGAGACTAAAAAGTTGCCTGGGCTAGGCAACCACTCCGGCGTTGGATTTCATCAGCTTGGGGTGGATATGTCTGCCTAGCTGTTTTCTTGCCTAGGAGGCAGCAACCAAGCATCCCCTAAGTCGTGGGTGCAGTCCCGAGATCAAAGTGAGAATATAATGCTATACACCAAAATAAAATTTTACATGGCCCGGTTTGGTTTCACCTAGCAACTATTAGATGTAGTTAAGAGAAATCAACTATTAAAGTTGCCTGATGCATCTGGGCCTTCTGCATTTTGACGGTGGACCTATCGGCCAGCGGACAGCCAATTGGCCTATCGGCCCGACTCAGAGACTTGTCGGCTCCTGGACTACCGATATGGCGGCTCCGTCGGCGGTCTAGAAGCCGATAGATCCACGCCCATACATCCAAATGCATTGCGATCGATTTCCGTTGAACACACGTAGTAAATATATATGTACGTAGATCCGCATGCAGCTAGCAAGCCAATGCAAGCAGCAGGCTGAGAATAGAAGAAGCTAGATAGCTAGCCAACTTGTGGAGCTCATTGAATTAATCATTAAAAAAATATTGTTTAAAAAAAATCTTTGTCCATGTATATTTTTCTGTTGGGCCAGCTCAGAGTATTTTTTTTATGAGCAACCTAAACTACATTTTGAGTTTTTTACCATTTATTTATATTATATTATTTGTATATTTGTTATAATTTTTTTGATAGTCGCATAGTATGTTTAATTACCAATCTAACCTTATTAAATGTATAGTATAATAACTAAAATTGTGAGCTAAATTATTGATCAAATTTTTTAAAGTTTAGTAACTCTTGATAGGTGTGCACCTCCTATAAAAGAGAATGGAGGGAGTAGTTCGTTGCCATAATAATTATTAGAGTAAAATCCACCGTGGGTGCTTGAACTTATTCGGTATTTCCAAATAAGTCCATGTATTTATAAGATCAGATTTTCGGGTCAGATCTTAAACTTGCCAAATGTATCACCAAGGTCCAAACCGGTTTTAGATCCCTGTTTTTGCACACGTGTCTCCTCAGTTCAACTGCGCAAGGCCTGACTGACCACGCACACCTCGTAAGCTGCTGCGCCCGCGGGCAACCACGAACGGGGTCGGATGCTACGCGCCCGCCGCCACCTGCCAGCGTAGCGACAGGCCCAGCCCCTAAGCCCCATCACCGTGTTGAACAGTGGGCCCACGTAGCACCCGAACACCGCCGTCTACGCGCTGCCAGAGCCGCTGTGCACCGCCATCGCCGTGCGGAGGGGAGTTCGCGTCCGTGGCGGCCACGGCGAGCACCGCGTGTAGGAGGCCCAGGAGCACGTACGCGCCCACTTCATCCCGGACGCCAAAAAACTCCACCGAGTAGGCCGCGTTGCTGCGTTGGCGTCAATGTCGCTGTACCGCTGCATCCCCATGAGCACCAGGGGGCATGGCACGGTAGACGAGGGTGATAACCAACATGGACGAGATGAGGCCCAGCGGCACGTCGTGGCCGGGGTTCTTGGCCTCCTCGGTCATGGTGGCCACCTTGTCGAACCCCGTGTAGGACCAGTACACGATGGCCGCGGCGCGGAAGACCCCAGCAGAGCCGAAGGGGAAGAAGACGGCGCGAGGTTGGCGGCCTCGAAGTGCGAGAACCCCGCGGCCAGCACGAACGCGATGATGGCGATGCCGACCACGAATGCTATCGAACTGATGGTGCACGCGCCAGACACGGCGGCGGCGCGGGAGGTGGTGCAGGGACGACAACGGCGATCGGGTCCAAAGCAGATTGAAGCCGTCAAGGGCACGTGGATGCGGAGCGTGGTACGTAGCTTCCTAGAACATATGTGTACAACCTCCATCATGGACGCTATTAGAGTATCTCCACTAGATCTACTAATACTTTATTTTAAAATTTATATACTATAGAAAATTGAGAAAACAAGGTTCTAAATTATCGTGGTGCTAATACAACAATTTGAGGAAACCTTGTCCCTTCATTAGTGAAATTCATCTATCAATCAGTTAGAATATCCTTTTCCATCTCTTCTCTCTTTTTCTTTTCCCCCACTCTCGGCCGGGCATGGGGGGCGCGCATGACCGACGCCGCCCATGCTCTCTTTCTCCTCTTCCTCCCTTTCTCGCCCAGTGTGCGAAGCCCAGTGTGCCCAAACTTGTCCATGCGGCGAGGTGGTGTGTCCGCCCACACCCCTTGCGACGCTGCCCTCGTCCGTCGGCGGTCATGTTTTCGGCTGTGCAGCAGACCTCTGCCAATGGGCGAGCGTCGAGTGTAGATGCGGGGATCCGGCGGTGGTCACAATTTGATGGAAGAAAATGGATTGAGGGGGAGGTTTTAAAAGATTGAGAAAACTATAGCCAAAGGGATTTAGAAGGGATCCGCTAAAGCTTTCTTTTGTACTTAATCCCCTTTTATCACTATTATAAAGAAAATGGATTGAGTTTTCTCAATCCGATGGAGATGCTCAGCATCCTCTCTCAGGTGGTTTGAACCTTTCCAACCACCGTTGTTTCCCCCTCTCGGGCAGCTCGGGCTCTTGTCTGGCACACGCAGAGATGCAAGAGGTTGTGCATATACTTACATATAATTTGAATAATTGTTGATTAAAATTGTATAAGTTGACTTCCCCTGTTTATTACGGTTATCATTACGAAATGGAGAGAGCAGTGCTGGGGTGGAGTATATATGTCTACTGTGTACATCGAATGCTCGTTAAGCTGTCTGTTGGAATAATGGAAGACACCCACGGCTGCTGAAGAAGTAAAACGAAGGACCGGACCTGGTCATCGTCGATCAGTTACTAGCCTTGTATTTAGTAGGCTCCAAGCCACGCGGTTCTTCCAGTCTTTCAGAATTCAGAGACAGCGCGCGGTCCATTTGAACTCAAATTCTAAAGTTTGAAGGCTGTATGAGCGTGAGCGGTTAACCAGGATGCAACGGGGACGGTAAGTGTCGTAGAAAAAGTACCTAAGCGAGCGTGCCAACACATACATGCAATTGTCCCACGCTGCCCGCTGAAATGGTTCAGTTAATCAGTTTGGCTAGGCAGGTACGGAGAAAGTCACAGTGAGTCAGTGACCACTGCGAGCTACGACAAGTGTCGCTTTTTTTTTATTTGTGCCGGTCAAACTATTTATTAAGTTTCACTGAGTTTATACAAAACATCAGCAATATTTATATCTTCAAATAAATTTATTATAAAAAATAAATTTAACCATCTATTGAACGGTAATACTGTGCTAAGGACGTCCGTCCGTCTGGACGCCCCCGTTGATGGGCCACGACACCAGTCCAACGGCCTAACTCTCCATTTGCGTATCCGCTCGCCCCGCCCCACCGTTGGATCCACCCCTGCAACGAGACAAGTAGTCAGCTCAGCTGTTTAGGGCGCTTGGCAGGGAGGGTCGTTAGGAGCCTGCCATTTCTTGCAGTTGCTTCCCGGGCCGTTTAGGACCAGCATGACCGCCAGCTCCTCCGTGCCATGCCCCGTCGTCGTCGTCGCCCTGCCGCCGTCAGCCACCGCAACCAGCAGCGGCCTCGCCGTGAGGATGACGTTGCAGAGTTGCATGAGAAGCACGGCCACCATCACCGCCCTGGCCATCATCGCCGCCGCCGTCGGTGCCATTTATTCCAATCCAGGAACGATATAGCAGATCCTTGTTAATGTAACCCGTAAGCTAGCAGTGCACACTGCACATAGCAACGTAGGTACGGTATTACTGCTAAACATGCTAAGCTATTTGGGAGGCTTGCTTGCTAGCTAGCTGGAGTACTAATGCTCGTTCAACTGACTCACTGTTGGTTTGCTGGGAGGGAAACATGCACGATGGTTGCCTTTTATAGTATCGATCGTGAGACAACATGACCAGGTGGTCACTTGTCAGTAGGTCAAGCCTTGTATACTAGTAGTAATAAAATATTTGTCAGGGTCAAGCCTAATACTACTCCGTATAAACCACGCGGTTTTCACCAGCGGTCAGTCCATTTATTTGAATGAAAATTCCTAAAAGTCAAATCTGAAGTCCGTGCTGCATGCTAACCAGGACAGCAAGACGCAAAAAGTCTAAACTGAGTGCATGCCAACACATTTGTTCCTTCCGTTGATGGCCACACGCACGAGTCTGTCAGCATGCACGTACACACATATACTAGCTATACTGTACATACTACTGCCAGTCTGTCGTGTCATCCGATCGGGTCGTATTCAATGGCGAGCCCCTGCCCTACGGAAGCAAGCAATGGAGCCCCTGCTCGGTGGCTTCGGCGACCCGGCGTTCTTGGCGGCGGTGCAGCAGCTGATGGACCTGCCCGACGAGTTGGAGCGACAGCTGAACGCGACGACGCGGGCCTACGTGCGCGACCGCCGGGCCATGGCCAACACGTACGCCCATGGACGTCAAGGAGCTGCCGTCCGGGCTGATTCTCCTAGCCGTCGACATGCCCCGGGTCAGCCTCTCCGACGTCAAGGTGTGGGTGGAGAACGGCAGACCTATCGGCCAGCGTAGAGCCGATAGGCCTGTCGGCCCGATACGGTTTACTGTTCCGGCCACTTGTCGGCTTTCGGACAGCCGATAGGAATATCGCCCGATTGGTCCTTAGACTTGTCGGCTTCTGGATTGCCGATATGTACCTGTCGTCGGTCTAGATACCGGTAGGTCCACGCCCATGCATCCAAATGACATCGATCGCAATATTTCCGTTGAACACACGTAGTAAATATATATGTAAGTAGGTCGGCATGCAGCTAGCAAGCCAATGCAAGCAGCAGGCTGAGAATCGAAGAAGCTAGATAGCTAGCCAACCTGTGGAGCCAGGGCAGCCACGGTCATCGACAATTAATCATTGAGAAAATATTATTTAAATAAAGTCTTCATTCATGTATATTTGTCCGTTGGGTCAGCTCGAGTATTTTTTATGAGCGACCCACACTACATTTTGAGTTTTTATCATTTATTTATATTATATTATTTGTATATTTGTTATATTTTTTTTATAGTCCCATAGTACGTTTAATTACCAATCTAACCTTATTAAATGTATAGTATAATTTTTAAAATTGTTAGCTAATCGTCGTCCTCGTTTGCAGGGTCCTTCCTAGCGCTATAATGTGGTGCTGTACGCACAGCAAAAGCGGCACCTGTCACCGGCTGAGAAGAGTCGGCTGGTGTCCTCAAAAAGCCAGAAGACGTGCCACCCGACTACGCCGGGAAATCGGGTTCCACCTAAGGAGTGTCCATGCAGCTCAACTTCTGAGCTAGCTTCCTGCAGCTCCGCTTCACCTTCTGCATAAATAGACGTTAAAGTTAGTGCATTTCCCAAACACCTATACACTAAAGAAACATTTTTGAAAGGACAAGTTTATTTTTACCTCCACAAAAGCCTCGAGAATGCCTGACCCCTGCCCTCTAGACTCGTGAGCGACCCAAACTACATTTTGAGTTTTTTACCATTTATTTATAATATATTATTTGTATATTTGTTATAATTTTTTTGATAGTCGCACAGTACGTTTAATTACCAATCTGACCTCATTAAACGTATAGTATAATTATTAAAATTGTTAGCTAAATTATTGATCAAAATTTTTAAAGTTTAGTAACTCTTGATAGGTGTGCACCTCCTATAAAAGAGAATGGAGGGTGTAGTTCGTTGCCATAATAATTATTAGAGTAAAATCCACCGTGGGTGCTTGAACTTATTCGGTATTTCCAAATAAGTCCATGTATTTATAAGATCAGATTTTCGGGTCAGATGTTAAACTTGCCAAATGTATCACCAAGGTCCAAACCGGTTTTAGATCCCTGTTTTTGCACACTTGTCTCAGTTCATTATATAGATCGTGAAATGTAATATCATAACAAATAAACTTTATTTGAAGATACAAATATCGATATTATTTTCTATATAACTAGTTAAATTTAAAAGAGTTTGACTCCACGAGAAATTTAACATGCTATTATTTGGTATGGAGAGTATATACTAGCATGCTGTCATATGCAACGATTGAGCCCTTTGTGCGCTGACCGATAGATTCATCGACTTCGTTTCACACAAGCCGTTAGCTACTCATTTCTGACGGTCGTTGCTCCTCGCAGCATGACACAGGGATTTTGATTTCTAAGTCGTTGCCCTCAACCACTTAGATCTGTCAACAGTTAGGACGACAGGGAGGGAGTGAGAGAGTAAGATGGAGAGGCTCTCTACCTCGTCGAGCTCGTCCGCCGTCGTCGTCAGATCTAGAAGAGGTCACCCTTAATAGTGCTCTCAGTTGTGCCCCTATAGGGCCACCGCCGTTGCATCCTCTGTCGGTCGCACGAGTGATCCACCTCGGCCTCGCCTACTCGCCATCGGGGCAGTGGCTGCCCGCCCGGCCCTGTTCACCACCATCGGTAGGTGCCAAGAGGTGGGCGCCAGGTGCACCAACCACCAATAGCAGGAGCTGGAGCAGGGAGGCACGTGGTTGCCGAGGCAGGTGCAGCTTGGGTGGAAGAGGATATGTAGACTGTAGAGAGGTGTTTGGCGGTCGAGAGAGAGGTGTGTCCGGGAGAGGGTGGAGTACGAGGCGAGGGAGTCGGGATGGAGGAAAGACAGACCGGACCAGATGGGCCTTTTACATAGGCGGAGATAGTGTAAATATTTTCCATTGGTATATTAGGGTTATATAAGAAATTTAGCACGTAGAGTTGTCTCTAAACAATGAAATTTTATTTTAGAACTTCGAAAGAGTACCTCACTAAAAAAAGAGGTATATAAGGCAGGCATTACTGATTAGCTACTATATACAAATCCCAAACTACAGAATCGAATCCATAAATACATATGCAGATTCTATTGTTTAAATAAAATTCATTGTACATCTGGATCTGGAGAGAGTAAAAAATGTTTAGAGATTGAACGAATATACAGCATTTGATGCGCGGTTGCACCTTTTTGTTCCCTATACCTGAATCCAATCCAAATCACCAAATTAATAAGGATATATATATAAACGAGCTTTTGTTGCAAGTCTACCTATGTCAGTGACTGCTCTTTGTTATCCAATGGAGGAAGTAGTTTGTTGCCATAATAATTATTAGAGTAAAATCCACCGTGGGTGCTTGAACTTATTCGGTATTTCCAAATAAGTCCATGTATTTATAAGATCAGATTTTCGGGTCAGATCTTAAACTTGCCAAATGTATCACCAAGGTCCAAACTGGTTTTAGCTTGTCTCCTCAGTTCAACTGCGCAAGGCCTGACTGACCACGCACACCTCGTAAGCTGCTGCGCCCGCGGGCAACCACGAACGGGGTTTGATGCTACGCGCCCGCCGCCACCTGCCAGCGTAGCGACAGGCCCAGCCCCTAAGCCCCATCACCGTGTTGAACAGTGGGCCCACATAGCACCCGAACACCGCCGCTGCTCTGCTACCGCCAGAGCCAGCTGCACACCGCCATCGCCGAGCGGGAGGGAGTTCGCATCCGTGGCGGCCAATGCGAGCTCGCGCGTGTAGAGGCCCAGGAGCACGACGCTGCGCCCTTTCATCCCGGACGCCAAAAAAAATCCACCGAGTAGGCGCGTTGCGCGTTGGCGTCAATGTCGCTGTACCGCTGCATCCCCACGAGCACCAGGGGGCATGACACGGTAGACGAGGGTGATAACCAACATGGGCGAGATGAGGCCCAGCGGCACGTCACGGCACCTCGGTCATGGTGGCCACCATGTCAAACCCCGTGTAGGTCCAGTACACGATGGCCGCAGCGCGGAAGGCGCCAGCAGAGCCGAAGGGGAAGAAGACGGCGCGAGGTTGGCAGGCTCAAAGTGCGAGAACCCCGTGGCCAGCACGAACGCGATGATGGCGATGCCGACCACGAATGCTATAGAGTTGATGGTGCGCGCGCTGAGACACGGCGAGCGCCGAGGTGGCGCGCGCACAGGATGACGGCGGCGATCGGGACCAGATGATTGAAGCCGTCGCGGCATCGCGTGGATGCGAGCACGGTATGTGCTTTCGTGCAAAGGGCTGATGCTGTGATGCCTCGCGTGCATCGGTGCATCAGTGCATGTGCAATGTATAGTACGTGCTCGTTTGATGCTTGTTTGCGTGACGACGATGTCGTTGGTGGTCACCGGGGACGACGACTCCAGGAGCTTCCTATCGTGCTCGGACAGCTAGGACGGGAACGAGGTGCCTTCACGTGACGGCGCAGCCGCCGTGGATGGCGGGCCGCTCTCAAGTCACTAGCCATTGTTGATCAGCAAACCCAAGATCAAGCGAGGAGCAAGAAATGGAGCTCATGCTCGGCGGCTTCGGCGACCCGGCGTTCTCGGTGGCGGTGCAGCAGCTGATGGACCTGCCCGATGAGCTAGAGCGACAGCCGACGACGCGGGACTACGTGCACGACCGTCGGGCCATGGCCAACACGTACGCCCATGGACGTCTAGGAGCTGCAGTTCGGGCCGATCGTCTTGGCTGTCGACATGCCCGTGGTCAGCCTCTCCGACGTCAAGGTCCAAGTGGAGGAGGGCAACGTGCGCCTCTCCGAGGACGCAGGCGGACCTATCGGCCCCAGCGGATAGCCGATAGGCCTATCGGCCCGATATGGTCTCTTGTGTCGTGTC